AATCAACTATATTTCCTTATCTATATGCAATTGTATTATTTATTCATGTGTAGAAAATCTCAATTAAACAACGTACGTAGGAGGAATACTCTAATGAAGATTCCCAGTCTAGATTGTGTAACTTTTCCAAGGCCTGTGATTACTTTAGGCTTTTGACATTTCTGACATTAAAAAGATATTTTGGAATTTGCTTGCTTGCTTATTTGCTTTTGCTTGCTTGCTTTTGCTTTCTTTCTTTCTTTCTTTTTCTTTCTTTCTACCTGCTAATCATAATTTTTGGTCAAAATTCTTCAGAATTTCAAAACAAAAGCCCAGGTCATCTGTACAGAGACACAATGTAAAATATATTTCTGTATCTTTGGTAGTGGTAACACCAAATATAACTTTGTCTAAATACATAACTAAAGAGACAGAGGAGTAACTATACTCAGAACTTAATAGGATTTCATTAAAAGAACAGTGATCATGGAAAAAAAAACATCAGGTATGCTACATCTGTATTTGTTGATAAAAACTACTGTTACTGTATTTCATTAACATATGCAGTTTGTTTTGTCAACTATTCTTCTTTTATCACAAAAAAACTATTGACTAAAGAAAATAAAAATAAAACATTTTTTTCTTTTTTTGGGGGGGGGTCCGGTCGTGGGGCCTGAACTCGGCCTGGGCGCTGTCCCTCAGCTCTTCAGCTCAAGGCTAGCACTCTACCACTTGAGCCACAGTGCTTTTTTCTTTTTGCTTATGTGGTGCTGAGGAATCAAACCCAGGGCCTCATGCATGCAAGGCAAGCGCTCTACCACTAAGCCACCTTCCCAGCCCCAAAATAAGACATTTTTATATCAGATGTTTTTATAAAAAATTACTGGCTATAAATAAATGATTAGTACTTAGTTTCTAAGTCAGTATAAGGGAGAATTGTATTGCACATCTCTCTAACAAATATATTTAAGAAATGCTACAGAGAGAGGAAGTTTATAGAAATAAGATATCACTATTGTGTATATTTTCTTTCACTGAGTCCAAATGAAATCACTATGAAATCACTGACATTTATGTTACTGTATATATTTGTCATTTAAGAATGTACTAACTGAAAGGTCAAAGTAAGTTGTTAGTTCCCCTCAAATAAGTAAAAAAATTGACAGATTATTTAACATTCCCAAATATACAGATCCAAAATTTTTAATATTTTAATTCATATACACTCATGGAAATGTTACCATTTTTCTCTGCTTCATTCTTGATACATCAAATGTCCTTAAAAATCATATGAGCATAGAACAGTGGACATAAGTCATATTTCTGTGTATAATTTAGTAGTCACTTAAAAATTAGTATTTTTAAATTTTATCTCATTATTATCAGATAAACAAAAGCAATTATACTGTCATGTTTTGAAGAAAACATATATTTTGAAAAAAGCCACAAAATGAGAAAGTGAATATTATAGATTGAAGTAGATAGCTTTTACGGTTTGGTAATTTTGTATAATCAGAAAGCAGGGTAATTCTGTTACTAATGAAAGGTAATTAGTATATTTCTTAGTTGCCATTTCTGTTCAACATACTTTTATTTTGCACAGACTATGTACAAAGAACTCAAATAGAGGTTGATGTGATTAAAATATTTTTTAAAATGCAATTCCTGCCTTACCAGAACCTCTGGTGTATCTGAAAAGAGCAATAACTGCAATGTTGACTAGAATGTAAATGGCCTACATGGGGAAAACACGGGCCCATTAAGTGTTAAAAAGTCACATAAAGAGTGGTAAATAAGAAAATGTTTTGCTGGGTGAATGTCAATGGGTAGATTTCAACAGTCAACTTTATTAGGGAAGGGCATTCTAGATGGATTAATAAAGTTGAGCGTATGTTTACACAAATGTTTACACAGAACCTCTTAAAATGTACATTATTCTATAATATATAAAGCATAAGAACAAGTTAAAAATTGTAAAAATGGGACCTATCTAGATCATGGAAATAGAAAATTCATAAATACATTCTGTGGACTGTGAGTTAAACTTTGGAGGTATTTGTTGTGAAAAGCATAAAAATAACTAGCACTTTGTATGAACAGAACTTTGGATTAAATGGAGCAAGAAGAATTTTAGGAAATGGAGGAAGTAAGTAATAGTCCTACAGAAAGAGTTTACTATGATTGACAGTGGGTAAATATGAATGTCATCAAATCAAAACCAACACTATTAACAAGTGATTAGAGAAGGAAGACAGATACATAAAAATCTGTTTCAAAATGATTTGTCCTTAATGTGAAGTCACCAATGGCATTAGAGATGGGAGGAAAATCAATAACGTATCTTTTGGGGGGATTGTGTTTTTTTGTGGGTTCTGGGGCTTGAACTCTTGACCTTGGCGCTGTCCCTGTGCTCTTTAGCTCATAGCGAGTACTCTACCACTTGAGCCACAGCGCCACTTCCAGTTTTCTAGTGGTTTATTAGAGATAAGAGTCTAATGGACTTTCCTGCTCGGGCTGGCTTTGAACCATGATCCTCAGATCTCTGCCTCCTGAGTAGCTAGGATTATGAGAGTGAGCCACCGACACCTAGCAGTAGCATAGCTTTAAAAGAAAGAGGCAAGAAAAGGATAAATAAGAAAAGTAAAATTACAATGAAATGTTTGGAAAGGAAAGACATTAGAAGAACTTACAGTAGAGGTCCTATATTCTCTAAAAAGGAAGATAGAGCGCCATTTCAAGGAAGGAATTATCTAGTGTGTGGGTTAGAAAAGTTTATCTGGATGAGGACTAGTCAGTCCTTTTAGTTGTAGGGACATAGGGTCTGGGAATCTTACCAACAGGAGAAAAAAATTGTGAGAATAAATCAACTAGAGGTGAATAAAGAATGTCTATGAAACTTAGAGTTCATACTAATAATAGACAGCCATCTCAAATTCAGCCAACTAACACAATTCTGTGACTTTTTTCCAGTAGCATTCATCCATTTAGTAGTAGGATCAAAGAAAATGTACTATGGAGTGTTTCCCAATGGTAAGGAGCCAGATAGGAAAGAGATAACAAGAATAGACCAAAGGAGCTTTTTAATACAACATAGAGGCTACATGATTCACAAAGCAGTGGACCTAGAAGAGCCTAAGATTTTTTATCTTAAAGGAATAAAGACAGTAAGTATCATTGTGAACAACTGATACTAGGAATAAGGAAAAAAAGAATGAGATAAAGTGGTAATGGCCAGAGAAGAGAATTTCCACATTTACAGTATAAGAAATAAAGTCACTTTGTCAATTTTATTCCTTCACTTTAAGTGAAACTAATAATCACATTATCCAAGTCCTTTACTAATAATGTAAAATGAACATATATTTCACTTAACCAACTCTCTCCTTAAGGTATCAACAGAGTAAGCAACAGAGACTAAGTTCTAGGCACTTCATTGTGACAAAAAGCCTAAGGAAATAAACTTATAAGGAGAAAAGATTTCTTTTAGCTCATGGTTTTAGAAGTTTCAGCCCATGCTTAGTTGGGCCTTAAAGAGGCAGTACAATATCATGGAAATACATGACAGAAGATGGACTTAACTAATTTCCAACTACCTCCTAAATTTTTAACTACCTCCCAATAATGCCAAGGGCCAGAGACCCAGCTATTAACAAATAGACCTGAAAGGCATTCAGTACATAACTATACAGTTTGTTTGGGAAACCTCACTTTCATTGACTATAAATTTAAAGATTTTCTTTCAGAGTCAGTCATTAACACATTGTTATTCCTTTCAAGCAATAACTCAAGGGAGTTTGGATCACTGGCAGTATTTGCAATTGCTGGCAATAATAAAAAGTAAACTGGATTTTGGTCAATTTCTTTAATATCCTTACAATACCTATAGTGTATTTGCTTCCCACTTACCCCTAGTTTGTACTATTTACACTTTCAACTCATCTCCTGATCTCAAGTATATAGCTACAGTGGTTTTAGAGAAAGAGGATTATATTATCTAAAGCAAGTGTCAATAAACTAAAGTGTACAGACTAAATCTGATCTACCTATTTTTGTAAATAAAGCTTGTTAATCACATATGTTCATTTTGTTTTCTGTGGTTGCTTTTCTTTTAATAATTTTTATTGAGATTAAGTGATTACATAAATTTCACAAATTTCACAGCATTGAGGGTTAGTGATACTTAAAGTCACAAGCACATTTTAGCCTTCACAAGGCCAATTGTCATTATCATGTTCTATAACGTTTGTGAGTTCTCTGAGCTTTGACAATGAAACTATTTCTTCTGTATTGGGTGATATGTACTTGTCTTTCCTTTGGTTTAGTGTCAGCTGTTCCCTCTTTCCCTCTCATTCCCCCCTCTCATCACTGCCCTTGAGTTGCTTAGTTCATTTTCATCCATGCCCAGTACAGCTGGTGGGCCCCTCTGTTGTATATTTTTCCCTTGTTTCCCTCTGATTCTATGCCCTCCTCCTAGCTTTCCTCAGATGTGCATATATATATATATATATATATATATATATATATATATATATATAATATACATGTATATAATATATGTGGTCAAAAACATGGAATCCTTTAGAAATGATATGACAATTTGAGTGGTGGTCCTTTGTTTCTTGAGTCCCCTTTACTTTGTCATATCTCCTTGCATTTTGGATTTAACATCCACATATCAGGGAGACCATGTGCCATTTGTCTTTGCTCTTGGCTTACATCGCTCAAAATGATTTGATCTAATTCCATTCTGTGGTTGGTTCTATGCTTGAAGGACAATCAGATAGCAGACTAGCAATCACATGATCCTTAAAAATGAGAGAACTTTTTCATTTAGAGTCTAATAGAAAATATCTACTCTCATTTTTTATATAAATGCTTAGGTAAGAAAAGAATCAAACTAACTCCTTCTAAAGAAGATATTGGTTTCTTATTCACATTGTAGGACAAAATTTAGCGACTATTAAATGTTTAACACTGACTAACATTATATTTACCTTTTTATTCTCTTCTCTCTATTTTAGTCCCTGCTATGTGGATATTTGTTAGCAATGACTGATGTGGAAACTACATATGCAGATTTTATTGCCTCTGGAAGAACAGGTAGAAGAAATGCAATACATGATATCCTGGTTTCCTCTGCAAGTGGCAACAGCAATGAATTAGCCTTGAAATTAGCAGGTCTTGATATCAACAAGACCGGTGAGTCATTTGATACATATCTAACTGTAACTGTGGAGTGAAATGCAGCATTTCATCTAGTAGAATTAAGGGGTGAAAAGCTACCTTGAAAAGTAACCTAAGAGTATAGACAAGATGAAAGTCTACAACTAGCCTTTTAATCTCTCACATTTTTTAATGACTTATTTTGAAAGATTCTCTCTTCACATGTAGAGTCCTTAATCTAGTTTAACTAATGAAATCAATAAAACCCATAGCACTTCTGTAATCCTAATCTCTGAAATCCGAGAAATTGCTCAGGTAAAATATGAAACATGGAGTTCCTTTCCACATTTAGAAGGTATTAAATTTTATTAGTTTTAATAAATGTTATTAAATTTTAATAACAAAATTTATACATGCAACTGATGAACCTCAAGTAAAAGAACAATTTCAAAATAAAAGGTTCTCCAAGACCTACTTTATTGCAAAATAGAATAGCTGTTGACATAATTCTGATGTTAAAAAGGCTTTTTCGTTTTCTTTCCATGAATGAATATGTTTGGCTTATTACTTATCATGGTAATCTGGTTTTACTGCTAATATAAAAGGAAAAAAAGTTTAATACATTAGTACTCAATGGCCTTATTGCTGAGTATTACAGTAAATCTATCCATTAACAATTCCTCTACTCAAAGATATTGGAAAAATATCAAAGCTTAAAAGTGTTTACTTGAGAAAATTTCTGTAAAAATAACCTTTAAACCTTTTTTTTCCTATGTCCATTAGGACATCCTACAGAAGATACTATGGGTTTCCAATTCCACTTATAATATTCAATATATTTCCATTATTATTATGTTTATGACAAAGCATTATGTGATTATGAAGCTGAGTCAAATTATGTATGTTAATAGAACAAATCCTTGACATTACTCTAAAATACAAAAAGGCATTTTTTAATTCAATGGGTAAAAATTAGTAGGTCACAGATTAATTCTTTTTCAATTTCAGCCTAATAAAACATTAACATTACCACTTTGAAGTGTATAAGCAAAAGCCTATGTCTATTTTTGAATATATTTATTATCATAAGAAGTTGTAAAATAAGTTGTCTTTTAACATAGTTCATGAATACAGGACTTGTTGATCAATGACACACTTTCAACATTCTCACCCATCCCTTGCAGCCCACTCCTTGCCTTAACTTGATAGACTATGTACTGAGTATTTTTTTGCCATTAAACTAAGCAGTTTATGTACACAATGAATCTTGACCTGTGTCATCCCTTCAAAATTCTCATCCTCTCTTTGACTCACCGCTTCCCTTATTTTTGTTAATTTTGTTGTACATACAACAAATTCTCAGTTGCATTCTCCACACACGTCCCCCTTCATTCATCTACCCATCTCCCCTTGCCCCCATCTGCAAGTACCTATTTCCTGGTATTTATTTTGTTGGGTTTGACTTAGTCTCTCTAAAGAATTATACTATTTTAGCTCTCCATAGAGTCTATTATATTTAAGTTAATTCATGTGTAACTGCTTGCATACCACCCAGTGTATTTACTTATAGATTTACAGGCACATTCTACCACAAATGAGGGAAACTTTGTTCCTCTAGGTCTGACAAACATTTATTTTTTAAGTTTATTTTTTCACGTTACTACCACTTCTAAAAAAGATTATAGGAAATTATTTCATTTTCATTGTCATTGAGAATTTAACTCTTTTATATATTGTATTTACATATTTTTTTCTTGTTGATTTAAGAAAAAGAAAAGGAGAAGCGGTAGAGAGTGGAATGAGTGTTTCTGACCACTGTTCATTGTAGGAAAATATGGATATGCCAGGCATTAGTGAGTGGCTCATGACTACAATCCAAGCTGCACAAGAGGTTAAGATCTGAGGATTGAGGTTCCAAGCTAGTGACAGCAAATCCGGGAGATTTTTACCTTTAATTAACTAAGAAAGAGCTGAAAGTGAAGATGTAGCTCAAGTGGTAGAGCACAGGCCTTCAGTGGAAAAAGCCAAATGAAAGCACAAGGCATGGGCTAGAAGGTGGCTCAGTGGTAGAGTGCTTGCCTTGCATGCATGAGGCCCTGGATTCGATTCCTCAGTACCACATAAACAGAAAAAGCTGGAAGTGGTGTTGTGGCTCAAATGGTAGAGCACTGGCCTTGAACTGAAGTGCTGAGGGACAGTGCCCAGGTTAGAGTTCAGGCCTGAAAACCGACCAAAAAAAAGGCACAAAGCACTAAGTTCTCAAATCCTAGTACCAAAACACTACACACAAAGAAAATATGGATGTGTCAAAATAAAACTCTTATGTAACTAGTAGATTCTACTAAAATGTTTTAAACCACAGAAAAATTACATTTCTGCTTTTATTTGAATATTATACTTCAAATCATCTGCAGTAATTTTAACCAACTTAAATAATAGATCATTTTTGCACATGATTTAATTTCTTCCTTTTCTGTTTACCCTAATATTGAAAACTTTTAGCCAAAGGCCTTTTATATGCAAAATAAAACTTAATAAACTTAATAAACATAATTTGAATGCATTTTCATATTAACAAATATACCAAATGAAAAAAATAATATTTTATATTCAACATATAACAATTATATAATTTGAAATTATTAAAATCTTTTCATGCTTCCAAATATCTTCTTTTCTACCATTCTTACATGTCAATTACAACTCTCTAGGCCCTTGCAAGATTTTCTGTTTCTCTTCTAATCATAATAGATTAAATTTTATGGAGCATTGACTTCATTATTCTCAGTATAAAGAACTGATAAAAATGATAATAAATGAATAAATATAAAAACTGACAAATACATAATGGTAAATATATCATTACTGAATTTTGAGCAACTTCCTTTCTACTTTATTCGTTTATATACAATAGTATTGCTGCCTGATAATTTTTAAAATCATCTATTTAGTCACAGCTCTCTTTGAAGCATAATGCTAAGCTTGGACAAGTTTGTCTAGACAACAGAAAGTCCAAAGCCCCATGAGAGTCAAGTTCATTATCTTGTATTTATACAGCCACTTTTACCCTTAAGTATTCAATTATCTTACCTTTGCCACATTTATCTTCATTCTTTTGGCTACCAACAGCTTCTTCTCTACGTAGTTCTTGTTGAATGCTGTTCAGACCATAAGCTTATCCCTAGATGCAAACAACGAGACCAATAGGTCAAAATAAAACATGAATTTGATATCTGATAAATGATGTAAAATGCCCAGGTACTACCCTAGATAGTGCTTTAGAATAAGGTATGCTTCTTATGTTGAAAAACTACTTTTAGTTTCTATAAAGACATAAATAATTGGAGTATGGAAATACAGTATACTTTTACATTTTGCAAAGAAAGTACAGCTGTCTATACTGAAGAGTTGAAAGAATTGTAAGTCCACTTATCCTCAATCTATTGAATTATGGTAACAAACTTAGAAAATATTAAAATATTTTGTGTGGTTGCAATACTCCCTAAACTTTAAACTATTTGGTGTCCAGTAAATTTCATGACATACACAAATATTTAAAGAATTGCCATCAGCTTGCAATCATAAAAGGGAAATATGGAACTAAAGTATTGTTTGGTTTCAGCGGTATCTATGTCATTAGCTACAATTGCTGCTGTGGGTACAGTTATGAGGGTGCTTTTATTAAACTGGAATATATTTTCTACATATAGGCAAGAATCCACTATAACTCTTGAACAAAAAACTGAACAAGTAACATAAAATCATTTTATCTTTTGCTATTATTTTCAGTTTAAACCCAGAGGACTTCTGAAGAATTAGAAATTAGCTGGGTTGACCTCAAGTGCTATCTGACTTAAAAATATTTTGTTCAAATCAGAGACTGAACAGAGACTCCCACCTCCGATTTCTATGTTAAAAGATACAACTGATTTCTACAGCTTATAAAACTATACTTAAATGTTTGACCTGCTCCTGAGATTTCTTAGGTTTTTATCAAGCCTAATCTGTAGCCACTCTGAAAATTCAAACATTTTGTTTTTGAGTCATGCTGTCCTAACTTCACAGAAGCCAGACTTTGAAAACATGACTACAATCTGATGATAGTGAACTAATTCCCAAGAAAATAAATTTGTCTCTGGGAAGATTTCAGGAATCATGAATATGTCTGTCATTTCCATCCAACATTGGAAGATATATATATACATATATATTATATATATCACTATATATATATATGTCACAATATATAATACTCTGCCAGTAAATACTAGCCTTTATCTTGCCTTTATCCTCCTTTCATTCTCTCTTACAGAAGGTGAAGATGATGCACAGCGAAATTCAACAGAACAAAGTGGGGAAGCCCAGGGAGAAGCAGCAAAATCTGAAAGCTAACACTCTACTTTGACCTTCAACACCTGACAATGTTGCAAATCTCCAGGCCTTGCTGGAATGAATTTGTTTCCATGAGTGGAGAGGGGAAAAAGAAAATGGCTGTGCTGCATTGCAGAAAGCTGCCCATTATCATGTCAAAAATGGGAGCCCAGGCTGTGGTTGCAGACAGACCTTTCTCTACCTCTGTCATGAGCAATGGTTGAAATCATGTGGCTTGTGTTTGGATGTCATTTTTGTGTGGATCCTTTCACTTGACCATATGATGAAATGCTTGTAGAGAGTAGCACTGATCTAGATGGTGATTCCTGTAGCATTTGGCCCCTCACACTGTCAGAGGATTTAATTGTGTCTATTTGCAAAGGGTTGGTTGAACCCCAGAGATTAAATATCTCTGGCTGAAGTATTCACCTAGTAAAAGAACCATCCAGAAAGCACCGTTTTTAGCATTTTTAGCATTATATATGTGTGTGTTACTGCTGTGTATTTACATACACACTGTTTTGTATTGTACAATAGAGCTACTCAGCACTGCCCCCTTCTTTGATTGCTTATCAAAAACAAAATGATGTACATTAACTGTGAATTTTTATACCACTCATTTTTAAAGGGCTGCCTTTGTTGTTGTTGTTTTTTTATTTTCCATAGTGTGGTGGCGTGCACAGAACACACTTTTTAAAAATATAATCTTTACTCTTGGTAATTGTATGTTAATGAACTGATAAAATCTACAGATTGATCAAAGCTTTTTGCTTTATTATACAGGCATTTAAAAATATTCATTCATATGAATATTACTTGGATTCAATCTGTTTTGTGTCTGCTCAGAGCAGAATTCAATCTGTCAATTTGCTTTATTCCTAAAATAGGGAACCTTTCCCAGCTAACATTTTTATATTAGTTATAAAAATTTTGAAGAATTGGAAAAGTAGAAAAGAGGATAATATTCAGAAATATTTGGAAGTACATTGCTTTATAGCAAAGAATCAATTTTCTCACAATGTTGTATACTACTATTTAAATCTGAAGTACAATATTTCTCCATCAAGGTGGAAAGGATGGAGAATGTGATTTCCTTACAATCTTGTGGACACCAATCACAAAATTTAAGACCTCCTGTTATGTTTTTCATGTCTTTTTTTCTCAGCCCTAGCAGATCCAAATATTATAATGCACTTTTTAATGTTTGTAAACTTTTACTAACAATTAGTGTGAATTGCATTCTGATATAATAATTATCACCATTAGAAGCTAGTAGAATTTTCACTGATACTGTTGATGGTCTATGCTGTATTTTGACATCATAGTTCTTAATAGAGAGTTTCTGTGAACTGTGTAAAGCCTCTGGCAGTATTATGAAATCATTCATCAGTGGTAATAAATAAGGAACCAGAATTTGCAAATGATTCATGAATTACTGGGCAAACAACAAGAAGTCTCCTTATAATAAAGAACCCCCTTAGCTGTCCTTGGGGTTAGGTACAGGTCCAGGCGAAATAGGCACAAGAGCATTTTGACAGGTAATCTATGTGGTTATGCCAGGAATTCAACCTTTTTTCTATGTTCACAGAGAGAATGAAAGCTAAATCTTCTCACATGCCCTTTTTCACTGGTTGGATTGAGGGCCCGAGTCTCAGTCTTTCTTCAATCAGATGATTACCAGAAAGCAAATGTTAGCAATGTGAGTCCTTCTGCAGACAAAAAGATGACGGATTACAATTTAGGGTACTTTCTTCTATGTAGTTCAGCAGGGATCAAAATAGACAGTTAAATTTAAACAAAGCCACCCTCTTTTAAACTGACAAGTATGAACAGAAGTTCTTGGGTCTATTTTAGACAATCTCTGGTAATCTGTTTAAAATACCCCGCTCATGTACTCAGTTTTCAGTGTTGTCACTTACTATCCTAATAGCTTTCTTGTGAATCTAAAACTCCTTTTCCCCCTTAAAATTGTGGAATTTCAAGCTGATTTTATGTGATTTTTGTAAAGTTAAAACTAGTGCTGAGTATATGTGGACGATTTATTATCCCATGTGATGTACTATTACTAATGCATGTGATGTCATGCTTGATTTTAAATATATAGTGTTAAATTGCAAAGTCATATGGAGCTTTTGATTTAATTTGATCTACTGCTACTTGGTCCACTGTATTCAAACCTAGAGGAATTCTCAAGCTGGAAAGATTTTTTTTTAAAGTTTCTAAAACATCTACATCCTATGAATTTTGCTTGGAAAAAGTCCACACTACTTTCCAAATTTCATCTAACACCTTATATTAGGATCTGAATTCTTAAAGACAGAAGGAAAGGTAGGAAACCAAGAAATTATTTGGTAGCAGGTGTAAGAAGTCTATCAACCAACTATTCCTATTCCAATCACTTCACAGCAAATATTCTTCTGTTTACTGTTCAAACAATTTATTTAGAGGAGTATTATTATTCCAAACCACATATTTGGAAATCAGCACTCAAGAAGGCATAATTTTTCCAAGCTTAGAAAAACAAAGGTAAAAATAGCTAATAAGTGATCTTAAAAATATTAAGATTTGAATTATCTGTCTCCAGGAAGCTTTCTATTCGATGTGCCATGAAATTAAATACAATTACCAAATAAGTTTATCTGTAATGAAAAATTTTAAGTAGAATTGCTTCCCTTCTAATTTCAGGAAAGAAAAATCGCAGAAAGAGAACTTAACTTTCTTGCGATTACCCACATCAGTAATGACATAGATATGACTAGATTCTAGAAAGTTTTTTTGTTAATTTTTCTTTCTGTTTTTTTTTTTTTACAAATAAGCAGTTCAATTATTGCTTATTTATAGGGTATACTTCCCAGAGATGTTTTTCAGGCATGTAATCTATAAACGTGGCATGAATCATATTTTTATGTTCAATTCTATTGTTTAATGCTCTACAAACATGAAGATGTCAGGAACTTTTTTTATTCATTTATAACAAGAGTGAACTTGTCAAATTTACCTTTTATCACCTGCATGTATCTTATGCTAATATATGTCCATTTTAAGTACACAGAAAAGGGTTTTCAGTTGAAAACAGAAAGTGCAGCCTCTAGTTTTTAGGCACTACTCTCACAGTAGCACATTGGAAATGCCCTACACCTGCGTCTTATTCAGACATCATAGTAATGTATCAAATTAAAAGATGAATGATATTGTTCTTTCTGCTCAAAGGAGTAACAAGTGTAAAGATTTGTAACTGCTGGACAACAAGGATTCTGAGTGAAACCTATATAGGATTAGGAATAAAATATATAGTTCTCAAGTGAAAACAGGAAAGAATCCATCATTTATGATGTTATGTTCTTAATTAAAAGTGGCAGTCTCTGAAGTAGTCTATGAGCTTACATGATTTTTGTATTTAGTAATGTTGCATGCTCACATACTTGATATTAAAAGTGACACATTTTATTCTGAAATGCACACAGTCTATTAAGAGTATTTATTGACAACACACTTTATACATGGTGCTAGAAATGTTCTGCACAACATAAAAGAGAAACCAAAGTTTCAACTATCGTTTTGTGAGATGTATGTAGCCTTCCAGCTTCACTTCACAAGTCTTTATTCCAATAGTGTCACCTCCATTCCATTCTAATAGCCCATGTCATGGACTTTGTCATCTACCAAGACCATCACACCTCCTACATCTTAAACCTCAGCACCATAACTGTACTTCTTACCTGCTATCTACAGGGAAGTGATCAATAATCAGGGTAGACATGTGCTTATCAGATTCCCTTGATTATTTTCCTAACATCCACCATTATCTCACACACATATATATGTATATTATTCATACACAAATACTCCGTTTTCTTTACGATAACTCTGTGCATGTCTTTAATGATTTTTGTCTCTTTCACTCACTCCACTACCACTTGAATACCTCTGATCTGTAAGACCATGTACCCCTCTCACTCCATGGTAGCCCTTTGAAACGAGCTACCCACAAAATGTAGTCCTAAGATACCCATGGTTTCACTCAATTGAGAATGACATTTTGTGGTTGAGGAACAGGGAGTATGACTATTTTTATTTTAATGTTCTCTTTTCATCATTTTATTTTAATCATATATTTACAATAAAGAACAAAAACAGACTAACAGGAGGCATGGGAGAAACTAGGTATCAAACAACATTCAGCCTGAGTCCAGGCAAGGGTTTTAAACCAGTGGAACTCAGTCCACAAGGCTAATTTACAAGCTAGAAACTTGGAACAGTTAAAATGCAGGCCCATGAAAAAAACTATTGATTCACTGGTGTCTCCTCTGCTTGTATATCTTACACTTGTTTTGCTTAGTGTATAAGAATTTAAGATCTTATTTTTGATTGAAAAGTCCAATGAAATAATCTGACCATAACCTATTCATTTCTAATTTGTACCAAATCTCTTTTCTTATTATATCAAAATGATTGTTTCTTCAACATCCTTCTTAGTCAAGAATCCATTAATTTTTCTCATCAATGCTCCGTTCTTTCCTTTCTTGGATTTCTGCCATTGTTGCTCAATTACCACAAAAGTATTACCTCTTGTCTTATTCACTATTTAGGTAAGTCTAAAAAAATCCATACCAATGTTTACTCATTGGCCCCAACCTAAGTTAGACACATGTGCTGAGCAATTCTCTTCTTCTGTCCCTGGGGAAGAAGTATGTCATATCACAGCTAAGATTTATTCCTTGATCTGATATTTTTAAGGAATTTTCCTCCTTATGCATTTTTTGTTACTGTAAATGTGATGTACAGAGAGGTTACGGTTACATAAGTCAGATAACTTCCCTCTGAACAATGTCACCCTTTCCCTCATGCTCCCTAGTGTTCTCCTGTCCCTACCCACAAATTATATAGTTCATCTTCAATATAGTGGCTAGTGAGTACCACAGATGTTTTTTTCACCCTTCATCCCACCATTTCTTTGACCCTCCCTTACTTTGCCAAAGACAGATAAATGAACAAACAAGACAAAAGGAAAATAAAACAAAAACAGCAACAAAGAAAAGAAACATTTGCTTCCATTTCCTAGAGTTCATTTCAATAAATATTATTTCATGTGATCATATGCACATAGGTATTATATTTTTGTGTTCCTTGTCTGAGAATATACTTCTTTGTTTCATTGTGTATTAATGCCTAGAGACCTCTGGAAGGCAGAATGGAAGTTCCTCGAAAAAACTAAACATAGAGTTTCCCTATAACCCAGCAAGTCTACTCCTGGGCATTTATCTAATAGAATACAAACAAAGCCACACTGAAACTAAAAGCACAACCGTGTTCATCACAGCATTGCTTACCACATCCAAGATGGTTTTTTAGTTCACCAAATCTACATATTCACTACTTCTTAAAAATACTGCTTCTTCTATCTACTCTTCAATTTTTTAAATAATCACTTGTCAAACACAAAATAGCGAGCTCACTAGGACCTGTGTGATCCAGAATTCTTTCCATTCATCTTTTAACACATATAATTATTTTACTCTCCTAATTTAAAGCGTTATTTAGTTTAACCTGTCAAACTTTATGACAGAAGAACTACATTTTATTTGTATATAATATGTTGGTCAGTTAACCTTATTCTAACTCTTAAAAGTTTTCTTGATTGTTGGAAAATTCTATTATTTCCTTCACACTACTCAATGAATCCTCTTTAATGATCATTTAGTTGAATCTCCATTCTTTTTTTTTTTTTTCTGGTTGTGGGGCTTGAACTCTGGGCCTGGGTGCTGTCCCTCAGCTCTTCAGCTCAAGGCAGGCACTCTACCACTTGAGCCACAGTGCCACTTCTGGTTTTCTGAGTGGTATATTGGACATAAGAGTTGCACGGATTTTCCTTCCTGGGCTGGCTTTGAACTGTAATCCTCCAATCTCAGCCTTCTGAGTAGCTAGGATTATAGGCGTGAGCCACCAGCGCCTGGCCTGAATCTCCATTCTTAATACCTGTTTCAGAAATTAGCTGTTCCCTATTCTATGTTCTCTAACACGTTATCTACAAACAGATTTTAGTAGATCATAGATATTTGTCTACATGTGTTTCTCCAATTGTTGAGACCACCAAGTGCAGCAGCCTTCTTTATTTATATTTATATCCTCATTACCAATTAGATACTCAATAAATGTTTGTAAATGAATAATGTCTGCTTTCCTGATGAATACAGAATTTATATATAGATAAACTAGCAAAAAGTGTAATTCAGAAACAAAGTTTATGGACAAAAATAGTGAGGACTATAAAATATTTTATCTGCAGAACACAAACACTTAATTCCTATCACCTTTTTTCTTGTATGCAATATGTTAGCTATTTTTAAATTTGCACCTCAAATTTTATTTTGCACATACATACACATACACAGATTTAATGTGGTGTACAAAGATGATGGCAAAAGCAAATAAAATTATCAAATGCAAGGAAGCCATTCATCTAACTAATGATGCTGGTAATAATATTTCTTGGAATTCAAGTTTGCTCATAATAAGATGAGCCAAAACAAAGAAGCTGTGTCATACTCTCTTGGCCTAGACAGCAAATCTACTAGAGAAGATCTCCAAGAAGTGTTTTGAAAACCTTGGCTAAGCAGACACTTGTAGTTTCTAAGAATATACTTTACTAAAATTCTCTCTTATTAGCCTAAAGTAATGAGAAGTTTTGATAAAAATATGATAAATATGAGGACTAGAAATTCACAGCAAAAAGAAATATAATAGAAGAAGATTAATGAATATATATACTCCAAATCAAGCAGATAGATAAGATATAGAAAATAGGTGGTATGTAGATGATAAATAAACACATACATAGCAATTTAGTCTCTTTCCTAAATATTGTTATTTTTCAGAAAGCACAAAATGGAATTAAGATATTTGAAAACTGAATTAACATTAAAAATCTAACACAATTAAGGAACTAATGTATACCTTTTTACTGAACTAAAGAATTTGAATAGACAATGTAATGATGTAGATAACTCCTAACAGAACATAACTCTACATCTTTTTATACTAAGTTTTTTATTGTGAAAATATGGTATAGAGGGGTTACAGTTGCATGAGTAAGGTAATGAGCACAATTCTTATCAAGCCTTG